ATCACCGACTCAATGGACATGGGTTTGGGTGGACTCTGGCCTGGCGTGCTGAGGTTCATGGGTCGCAAAGAGTTGGACACGACTGAGTGACTGAACTGAACTGAACTGACAAACGTAAGGACTCCGTCTGCAATGTATTCATATTGTGTGTGACAGGGGAATAATACAGGGAATAAAAGACAGCATTTTTAGCTTCAAAGAATGCCCATTTTACTCCATATATGGACCCAAAAGAGTCAAACATATGACTCTTTCATATGTCTGTGAAAGAGTATGAGACTGTTTAACAGTATAACTGGTGACAAAACTTCCAAAGTAAGTTTTTTGAGTAATTTAAACACACATAGATTTGGGGTTGCTTCATGGAAAAGGCTTTTAAGCTCCACTTTTAAGCTCAAGAGTAATAGATAACTAATAATTATTGCACATTTAGTAATTTCTGGGCACTGTGCTAAACCTTTGTCACGTTCCTCAGGGTCATACAACAGGTTAGTGATATATCCTGCAGGAGAGCACAAGACAGTTTGAATTCCAAGTCAGAGCTCTTAAATATTGATTAATAACCTCCATGGGGACTAGGACTCAGTCTCCTTGTTATGTTGTTTCTGGAACAGCTAGCATGGTGTTTGGTAGACTTTAGATGTTTGAAAATTTGTAGTTGAGTGTATTTTAACTAAATCAAGGAGGAATAGCTCCAATCTAATACGTGATAACACTGAAATGCAAGTTAACTGGCTGTTAATTCTTTCCATTAAATTCATCATCCCAAACTAACAGCACAGACATGGGCAAAATTACACTTAATCATCCCTTCATTTCTATAACTAAACACTGAACAACAACAAAATACATATCTATATAAAGAGATTATCTTGCGTGTGTATTTTTGTGTTATTTATGAGAAACTCCTGTTCATCATTCAACCCCTTGGTCTCCATTTCTTTTTCTTATCACAAGGCCTGTATTTCTTCTTTTCATTATGATGTTCTAAATATTTTAATGTGAGCATACATTGGATTTCAGCCTCGTTTATCATTTAATTTTCACTTCGTATTTTATAATGTCCTATTTCCATGAATCAATCATATGGACAGATGACAAATTGTTTATTCCTTTTATTTATTTCCAAATAGATTATCCTTCCTGGATGTATGACTCACTTGTTCTCTATTCTTTTTTACCCAGTGTCCTAACCGGAAAACCACAGCTCTTGATTTCAAAAGGCTTGCAACTTAGTTTCCTTGGAATTACCACCTCCAGGCTGCCGCTCCCCAGAGAAATCCTAGTCAAACAGTTCTGCTTGATTTACCCAAATCCTTTGGCATCTTCCAATTACCCAAGATGAGCGTTTTGTAACTAATTACATCAAATGCTTCTCAGAGTTCAAATTTTAAAATGCCCTCTCTTTATTAGCAAAATGGCTGTTCACATTGTCTCAGACAAACTCATGATGCTTATCTTAAATTAGTTATTCTGAATAAATATTTATTTCCTCTTAATTTTTGTTCTATGATTTTGCAAATTCTTGACAATCCATTCCCATGACAATATTTAGGAGATAATATCCACAGAAAAGTTCAGGAACAATTCCGAGACGTACTATTTCCCAACCAGGCTTTATTTCTTCAGAGAATAAGTACTATTTCTTCAGCGGCTCTTTGATTCAAGAAGCAGTAACTAAACAAGGGATGCTCCCTACTCAAAGTGTGGTTCTCACAGCACACGTACACTTGTATGTGTATGTGATACATCTGCATCACCCAGGACTGTAGAACTCGGACTCCCCTGGGGCCTACTGAATCAGAAGCTGCATTTTTAACCAGTTGTCCAGCAGATATTTTAAAGGTTTAATCTGGTACTTCTGCTCTAAAAGATTAGTAGTGCATATTTAGGGATACAGTATCAAGATGAAGAGGCTTCCCTGGTGGCTCAGATGGTAAAGAACTGCCTACAGTGCAGGAGACATGGGTTTGATCCCTGGATTGGGAAGATCCTCTGGAGAAGGGAATGGCAACCACTCCAGTATTCTTGCCTAGAGAATTCCATGGGCAGAGGAGCCTGGCAGGCTACAGTCCATGGGGTCGTAAAGAGTTGGACATGACAGAGACTAACACACACACACACTGAGATGAAATCTTCACTCAAATTTGGATTCAATGGAAAAAATGAGGGAACTGACAAGTGAGCATGATTACCTTAGGAGTGGGATAACTGCATTACCATTACAAACCTTCCTAACTCTTCATCTTCTCTTACTCTATCAAATCAACTATTATCTTGAATTTCTCCACAACATACAGTTTCTAATTTGGCCAGGAAAGACTTTGTACTGTTCTGCAAATGTTGCATGGCTGTACTTATTGTTTTAGTCAGGATTCCCCAGCAAAACAGAACCAATAGGATGGAGAAACAGAACCCACATGGATTTATTACAAGAAACTGTCTCATGTGACTTTGGAGGCTGCAGGATGAGTCAGGACATTGGAGACCCTGGAATGCTGATGGTTTACTTCCAGTCTGAGTTTGAAGACCTGAGAATTAGGAGAGAAGATGGTGTAGGTTCCATTCCAAATACTGGCAGGCTCAAGACTCAGGAAGAGTTAATATTTCAGTTCAAGTTTGAGGGCAGGAAAAAAGTCTATGTTTCTGTTTGAAAGGAATCAAGAGAGAAGAATTATTTTTTACTTGAGGGAAGGTCAGTTGTTCTTTTCTAGGTAGGCCTTCAACTGGTTGGGTTAGTACCACCCACAGTAGGGAAAGCAGTCTTCCATCAGTTTACTGATTTAAATGTTCAGTTCAGTTCAGTTCAGTTCAGTCATTCAGTCATGTCCGACTCTTTGCAACCCCATGAATCACAGCATGCCAGGCCTCCCTGTCCATCACCAACTCCTGGAGTTTATTCACTCATGTACATTGAGTCGGTGATGCCATCCAACCATTTCATCCTCTGTCGTCCCCTTCCCCTCCTGCCCCCAATCCCTCCCAGCATCAGGGTCTTTTCCAATGTGTCAACTCTTCGCATGAGGTGGCCAAAGTACTGGAGTTTCAGCTTCAGCGTCAGTCCTTCCAATGAACACCCAGGACTGATCTCCTTTAGGATGGACTGGTTGGATCTCCTTGCAGTCCAAGGGACTCTCAAGAGTCTTCTCCAACACCACAGTTCAAAAGCATCAATTTTTCAGTGCCCAGCTTTCTTCACAGTCCAACTCTCACATTCATACATGACCACTGGAAAAACCATAGCCTTGACTAGACAGACCTTTGTTGGCAAAGTAATGTCTCTGCTTTTTAATATGCTATCTAGGTTGGTCATAACTTTCCTTCCAAAGAGTAAGCATCTTTTAATTTCATGGTTGCAGTCACAATATGCAGTGATTTTAGAGCCCCCCAAAATAAAGTCACCTCATTTAAAACACCCTCACAGTATCACCCAGAAAATATCTGACCCAATATCTGGACACCCCATGGCCAGTCAAGCTGATACATAACATTAACCATGACACTTTTCATGTTTTCATTTCTTGGAATTGTCCCATTGCACACCTGTCAAGTCATAGCTCAAGTCTATGTTTTCCAAGAAGATTTTCCTAACTTTCCTTCATTGATTTCTTCCTCATCTCAACTACCAATAGCACTCATAGAGTCAATACTATGTGCTAGTCTGAGGTGATATACTACCTTAGTTTTTCTATTCTTGTTTTTGGAGTATTAGACTTGCCTCTACCCAACTGGTGATAATCATAAAGGCAGGACTCCTATCATACTTTTAACATAAACCTCACAGTGCTCAATACTCTTCAAATTTTGGCTAATTGGTTTTTTCTTTATTTTCCCAGTTCATGAAAATTTTTATCTGAGTACTTTTACTAACTAGAAGATACTATAATACTCTTCCCACAAGAAGTACTTACTACTGAAACAAGCATTATTATTACATGCGTGCTGACAGTCTTGGAGATAGCCATGATGCTGAATTTTTATTGTACCATCTATTGAGTACAAAACAATGACACCAGTGTAGTTTGTCTTAACTTGCATTCCCACACTGACATAGGTATTGCTGAGAAAGCCTTGGGAAATAGTATGTTCATATAGTAGCCTACTTGATCTTGAGTAGGCAGCAATTATATTGTAATGTCTCAGAGCTACTGATGCTGGGCTTTGCAAAAAGGAGATTAATGACACAGAAAAGACCATGGTGCTACACAATGAAGACATTTATTTTTCAGCTCACAGTCTACACAGAAGGTGATTCTTCTCACCCAAAGGAGTTTAAAATGTTCACTGGTTGGTTCACTTCAATGAAGAAACAGACGGACCATGGTAGAATTGATGAGATTAGGGCGACGCCAGAGTCTGCAACTAGGGGGAGCCTCTAACACCTCCCCCAGGACAGTGATTAGCTCTCTTGAGTACCTCCTCTCTGGAGGAGGTAGAGAGCGGTAGAGGGAGAGGCAGGAGGTTACGTGAAGAGGAAGAAGTAGATCTCTGTTCTGAAAGCTGGGCTACTGCCGTTGATGAGTCTCTTTGCTGTCTAGGGAGCCAAGAGTGTCTTCACAGAAGCTCCTGGGGCTGGGCTGGCTACATTCTCTCTGGCAATAGCACTGGGACATTAGCTTTCTATTCTTTGATAAAGGAATCCACATGTCCATGCTTCTTTCCCTAGAATGTTTCCCTCTTAAAAACCTCATCCTTATGTAGATTGTCTACAGTTAAAGGAGAAAAGAGAACACTCTTCTGTGTGCCCTGTGGTTTGGGGGTCCTGCCCTAATATTCACAGGGCAGGATAAAGAGTACAAATGGAGGTCCATATACTGTATGTCTAAAATATATAAATGTTTAAGCCAACACATGCTTGCATGAAATACATTCCAACCCACATCCTTGACCTAGAAAGCCTGGCTCAAGCTTAGGCTGCATCATAGCCCTTATGTATAGTTCCGTTCACAGCAACAGCTTCCCTTTATCACAATCTCAGGGCACAGTCTGCCCTTTGGGAGATGGACAAGACAGAGATACCAATTCAGATCCAATACACTCTGTGCCTGTTGGGTGGGCAATTCCGGTATCTCTGGAATTTAGACATTGGTCTTAGAACTGGGGTCACAAACTCAATGGGAAGGGAAACAGCCAGCAGATGGCTACAGTCAAATCTTTGCTTTAGGAGCCCAGAGCAGCAGATCCACCTGCCCAGGTCTAAAGGCAATACTGAGGCTGGGGTGGGAGGCAGACAGGGACCCTTGTACATTAGTGCAAAAGTTTTGCAACTGCAAATCAGAGAAAATGCAGGGTATGAAATCCAGTGGGAAACTCACATATATACTACTCAGGTCAGCAAGTTAAAAGAGGCAGTCTCAGGAAATTTCCGTATAAACAGGCATCTTGTATTTCCAGCTGATTTTGGAAAGGACTCAAGTCTTTCACACAGGGCAATTGGAGAAAACTCCATACATAAAAAGTGCACTTGGTGTTAACTGCATAAATAAGAATTTGGGGCACCCTGTGATTTTTACCAAAGCCCCTGAAGCAAGAGGCAGACTCCCAGGATAACCAGGATAAGATACAGAGCAAAGAATTATTAACAGAATCTAGGAAAAGAAGAATCCAGACCATCTTAGGTCAGAAATCATGTTCTCGGTTACAGATCTATGATATAGCCTCATGGTTCACTGAATAGCAAAATGTACATAGTACTTTCAGAGTCAGGGTTCTGAAATATCCCATTGTTATCTACATGAATTCTCTAGGTCATATTATAGATTCTTATACCAGCTCAGGAAAAACAACTGAGCCCTTCTTCCCCATCCCTGTCTTCAGTGACTTCAGGATGGTTGCTTAAAATTGGTATTGGTGGGAGTATTTTTAAACACCATTAGTTGTAGCTGTGTAGTCGCTAAGCTGTATCTGACTCTTTTTTTAACCCTGAGGACTGTAGCTCCCCAAGCTTCTGTGCATGGGATTTCCCAGGCAAGAATACTGGAGTGATTTGCCATTTCCCTCTCCAGGGAATCTTCCTGACCCAGGGATCAAACCCACATCTCTTGCATTAGCAGGCAGATGCTTTACCACTGAGCTACCAGGGAAGCCCATTTTTTAACACCATAGAAAGCTACAAACATTACAAATTAGTGCTGTCTTCCCCTAGAGAGTCTTTTATTATTAATTTACCAGCACACAACTGTTTGTATGCCAAAAGCAGACAAAAATATCAGGTAAGTAGTTCTCTTCTTAATGATGCTAATTTCTTAGTAGGCTACATATTTATTATACACAGCAATAATTTACATACTTTCTAGATCTTATTGAAGATACATAAAGTCCAAAAACTAGATCTTGTTTTCAAAGATTATGAATGAGAAGTATCTATGTTTAAAAACTGTCAGGGTCATCTGATATTTTTATCCAAATGTGATTTGAAAAGAATAATTTATTGCCCAGGAAAGTAATAAAAACTAGTTTTGTGTTTAGGAAAAAAGGAGAAAAAGAAAATATTCTCCTGCACCTGGTCAGAAAGTGCTATGTAGTTTCTGAGACTAACGTTGAACAGCAGGAAGGCATTCTCGTGTTGACGGTTTTACTCTGGGGTTTGTTTTCTGAAACTGCCTAGAGCATCAAATCCCAAAAAGCAGGTGTGTGTGTGCATTTCCTATGGGAGTCTGTCATCCCTTTGGTTCCCTTCTTCTGTAAGAAATGGAAAAGCCAAGTTTCTTCCCCCGAGTCACGCTTCAACACGCCGAGGGCGGGCACAGCACACCTGCTCCACCTTCGCCACACGTCACTCATCATCGGCAGAGAGAGAGGCACCCAGAAGGAGCATGGAGGGCGATCGTCAGCCACCTGAAGAACTGGCCACGGCCTCCTCGTCTGTTTTCTGTGTCTGAAGGCATAAGGTTACAGAATTTGGAAAAGTCAGAACTGCAGGGCAAACCAGCTGCATAACTCCTTTACAGGGAATGGGGATGGAAGAAAGGTGTTTACGGCTTGTCAGCTCTGAGCACAGTTTGGAGAATACTAAACACAAGTGCCATGACTCCAGCCTCTTCCTGATTTATTTGCAACATCTGTGGAGAAACCCACAGCCTAGAAAGAAATTACCCTGACAACTCCTTTTACCTAAAGAGCTGTTGGATTTTCTCAATATTCCAGCCTAACACTTGCACCCAAAATGCATTTGTGGAGTTGAATTGGAAAGGTTTTCATTTGAATTGACTCTAACAATTCTGACCTGGCTGGAGTTAATTGGTCTAGTGAACAGTAAATATTTTTATTTCCAATGAAATTTTGAAGACTAAGTATCTTCTTTAGAGTAGGCATTATATTGTAGACACCCCATTAATTTTTACTGTGGTAGGCTTAATGATGGCTCCCAAAGATGTCCATATCCTAATCTCCAGAACCTCCAGGCAATATGTAATGTGACATGACAAAAGGGGCTTTACAGGTATGACTAGGTTAAGATCTTGAGATGGGGAGAGTAGCTTGAATTACCCAGGGGGGTCCAGTGTAGGCACAGGAAACTTTTAAAAGAGAGGGCAGAGGATTGGCAGAGAGAGTCACTGTTATGTTGCTGTCCTTGAACACAGAACAAGGGGTTTGGAGCCAAGAAATATAAGTTACCTCTGCAAGCTGGAAAAAGCAAAGAAATGAGTTCACCTCTGAACACCCAGAAGGAAGGAATATGGCCCTGCTGACACCTTGACTTCCGCCCAGTGGAAGACAGTTTGGACTTCAGACCTCTAGAACTGTAAGAAAATACATTTTTGCTGTTTTAAACCACTGACTTGATATAGCAATAGTAAGAAACTAATATATTTATGGAGTAAAATTTAAAAATCCATTCAACTCTAAAGGGGGAATTTGTATCTGAAGTCTGCAGAGTTTAGAGACCATACCATTATGTTCACCACACACTTACTTGTCACAATTATATGCAAATGACTATCCAGATTTTATACCCAAGGTACCTGTGTTTCAACAACACTGCTTTTATTTAAGGCTAAGGGATAGTTTTTAGACTTAAGGAAAAACATGATAGCATATGCTCTCCTGGGAAAGATTGAAGGCAGGAGGAGAAGGGAATGACAGAGGATGAGATGGTTGGATGGCATCACTGACTTAATGGACATGCTGCTGCTAAGCTGCTAAGTCATTTCAGTCGTGTCCGACTCTGTGCGACCCCATAGACGGCAGCCCACCAGGTTCCCCCATCCCTGGGACTCTCCAGGCAAGAACACTGGAGTGGGTTGCCATTTCCTTCTCCAATGCATGAAAGTGAAAAGTGAAAGTGAAGTCGCTCAGTCGTGTCTGACTCTTTGCGACCCCATGGACTGCAGCCTACCAGGCTCATCCGTCCATGGGATTTTCCAGGCAAGAGTACTGGAGTGGGCTGCCATTGCTTTCTCTGCAATGGACATGAGTTTGAATAAACTCTGGGAGCTGGTGATAAGGCAGGGAGGCCTGGCGTGCTGCAGTCCATGGGGTAGGACACGATTGAGCAACTGAACTGAACTGATGATAGCATCAGTTAAGAAAGGCATATTTAAAATACTAATGCAGACTCAGCACTGCAGAAGCAGATACGTTGCCAGTCAATTATGATAACTTGACTTTTTAATGAGTAAAATCTCACATTCTGTGGAAATGGAGTTTGGGGGTGTGTGTGCAGTTAGCTGGAAGGATAGTAGGAAGCAAAATAACCCATTTTAAGAATGCTATCTAAAACTTCAAGGGAAGTCTGTATTCTATTCCCCCACCTCAAAAAAAAGGGGGGGGGAGGGGGAGATGCGAAGGTTTTGGGGGGAGGGAGGTCACCCAGCAGTCATGGCTTATAAACTCTGGGAGTGAAGTTGATAAGGCGTGGGCAGAACAGTGTCTTTTGGAAACCTCGCAAATAAGGCACAATCCTACAAATGAACCATAAACCCAAAGAAAAATTCAGGTTTTTAACCAATTTTTCTCTGACCTAAGAAACCGTGAGACAAATAAATAAATAAATAAATAAATAAATAAAAGCAGAAGCCTGCCTTGGAGAGAAGCCAGGGTCAGCCAACTGTAGCAAAGCTGATTGTTGTTGTTTTTATAAGGGGGATGGATGTGGATTCACCAGTAAATGAGGAAGGCGTAGTCAAAGGTGGTGATTCAGTTGGGAAGAAAGCATGTCCAAAGCTCCCTTACTGTGAAGGGAACAGAAATAAGATAACAGAATTTACCAAGGTCTCAGAGGTTGGACTGCCATTTCTGAAGTCTGCTACCTTGATGCAATTTGAGAAAACTATACAGATTTGGGGGTGGAACAACACAATTCCTGATCCAACAGTTTCTCTTTACTCAGCAAATAGAGGGCTGTGTAAAGGCCCCCATGGATGTAAGTCTCAGAGCTGTGTGATGAACCAAGCACAACAGCAAATAGATCCTGAACCCATTTGCATCTGAGGAGGAACTCTTGAGTAGGACGCAAAAAGAGTCGGGACTTACAGTGACTAAACAACAACTCTTAGAAAAGCAGTACTTGTTGGCAGTTTTCCAACGAATACCAAAAGCTAGAAAACTCCTTTCTAGTTGGATAGGATGAGGGTGTCCTGATGCCTTCAAGGGGCTATGTTAATTTTCTCTCAATTCAACTGCTTTCAATGTACCAGTTTGACTTTGCAGCAGTGACCAAGGTTTTCTGTCTTGTACTTCCACGACCACCTACATGGCCTTGCTTTTACAAATTGTGTAGGAGAAGAACATGCACTACGCCAGTATTCTCTTTCTGCTTCCCCACCCACATTATTAAAGCTGCTCAACTTAGACCCCAGAGGCATAGTTTGTAAACATCATTGTTTCACAGAACCCTTAAAAATCTAGTAAAAGACATGTAAGCCTCCCACTCTACCCAAAGAGGAGACTCTCTATACACACATTAATTATACACCACATGCCACATATATTTGCAGGAGTTCACGAACTCCTGAAAGCCCATTTATGGAAGCCCACATAAAAAAGCCCTCACCCTACAGGATTTTTTTCACCCTGTTTTAGAGTTGCCAAGAGCTTTAAAAAGAGAGAGAGAAGGAGTGCAATGATGCATGTGCCTTTTCAGATAGCTTGGATAGTTCCATGAGTTGTTGAAGAGTCAAAAAGCAAATAAACGTCAACAGTTCTGAATCCCAACATTGTTTAATGACAACTTTCCCATGTTTGCCAACTTGCTGCTTAACAACAATCCTGTTGACACTGTGGAAAAGGCTTTCCAGGTCCTCCCAGGTAAATAAGACACTCCTACCGATCACCTGGTCACCCAACTGAACTCGTTAATACACACAGAATTCATGACGATGAGTCACTCTCTTTGCCAAGTGTACGTTGACATAGCATAGATTTTGCCTCTTCATAACAGCTTTTCATATACTAATCCCAGCAAAGATCATTATAAGAAGGCATCAATTCTAAGCAAAACCCTATGACTGAAGTGAAAGGTGTCGTTTTCACA